AATATCAAATTCTCTGGGAGCCATATGTCGTCACCAAAAGAGCCATATATGGCTCGCGAGCCATGGGTTCCCGACAACTGCCCTAAAACAAAATGTAGTTCGTCTGTGCCACCCTCGTCATTTCTGCTTGGTTTATGAAGTTGTAGGATACAGCTTATGTTGGTTAGAGTTACTTGCTTACTCACTGTATGATATATAAATTGATTTTGAAAGAAAAATAAACGATCAGGGAAGGGAATAAAAGAGAGGAGTGCAGAAAACGAACTATCGCGTGATAGGTATGCCATTCCCGAACCTTTTTTGTGTCCTAAAAACTTTGCAACTGTATTACTCTCTATGTTTTAATCTACATATGCTTGTGAAACTTGGTTTTTAGTTATGAACTTTATTAGGTCTCATAATAGGAGTAGCCTGAAAGATGAAACCAGTAGTTCGTGTATTTCTTTGAATGTTGTTACAAAATATAAACCAAATGTAAAATTTCTAGTCTCACTGATATAGAACAAGAAAGTAATCAAATCTATTTGTCGGACTGATATTTTCCCGAATAGTGAATCTGTCTGTACATGTATAAAAGATTTATTATTGTGTATTTATTTTTGCTTCGAAAGTAGCAAAACATTGTTTTTAATTTTAGTTGGCACGCGGAATATTTTTGTCGTTAAATTTAGCCGAAAGGTTGCCCACTCCTGAATAGTGCGTCTGTGCCGCCGTTTTCTCCATTTCTGCTTGATTTATAAAGTTGTAAAGCTCATGTTGGCTAGAGTTACTTGCTAACTTACTGTTATAAATTGATTTCTAATGATATATAAGCGATCAGGGAAGGGAATACGAGAGAGAAGTGCAAAAAACGAACTATTCCGTTATTGGGATGCCATTCCCGAAAATTGTTGATGTCTTAAAAACTTTGCAACTGCATTACCCTACATGTTTTCATCTATATATGGTTGTGAATCTTGGTTCTCAGTTATGAACTTTATTGAGTCTCGTAATAAGAGTAGCCTGAGAGATGAAACCAGCAGTAGTTCGTGTATTTCTTTGAATGTTACAAAATATAAACCAAATGTAAAATTTATATCAACGGTAATGCAGCCGCAGAAGTCTCACTGATATAGAACAAGAAAAGTAATCAAATCCATTTGTTGAAATGATATTCTCCCGATTATTTAATCTGTCTGTACATGTTTAAAAGGTTTATTATTGCGTATCTCTGATTTGAAAGTGACAAAGCATTGTTTTTAATTTTGGTTGCACGAGGATCAATTTTTTCCTCAAATTAAGCCGATTTTGGCACGCGAGCCGAAAAAGGTTGCTCACCCCAGTCCATAGGTAAATAGTTCGTAGTTGTTATTCGTTATTTCTCTGTTCTTCCTTCTTCCCATGTGTACCTTTCTATTTAGCATGTAGTAATCCAATTTTAACATGTATTTGTTACGGGTTTTAATCGTTATTATAATTTATACAAATATAATGTCCGAGTTTTTTCGGGGCTTAGAACGAAATAGGTTATTTACAGGTAGTGTGCGTCCCCTACCTATGAAATTTTGTACCTACGAAGGTGCTTCCGGAACGAATTAATTTCGTAGGTAAAGTTTCTACTGTAGTTGCAAGCACAAAAAATTATTTCCTTTTTGTTGTTGATCTTACGGCACTGTTAGGGGTCCTTGCAGAAATGGCGAGTTAAAACTTATAAACTGAAAACTGCTTTTCAAATTTATTTTCACATCGACTAAACGATTTTAATGAGAAACACGTTTTTATAACGTGTATTTTTCAACAGGATTTTGCTAGCTAGTTTTGCTAATATGACAGATGCACGCAGGCGCTACTATAGGCTTTGCGACGCAATAAGATTGGAATTGCTCTCACACACCAGATTAACAAAACTAAAAACTCGTTTCGCGGGCACACCATTCAAAATTGGCACTTCTCCGCGGGACGCACAATTTTTATTTGCGGGCCGCAGTTTGCACACCCCTGCTATATCTGAATGATTTCTTATATAGTATATAATACAGTACGGGCCAGGAGCCTCGGTGACCTAACCGGTCTTGCATACTGACCCTCAAAATAATGATCAACCAATTATTGTTAAATTAAATTATATTTTCGGTTGCTCCAAATGTATCATGATGTTGACATTGTTTGTAATAATAAATATAACTCTCTCTCGTCCGGTTATCATTCCATTTACCAGTCCATGTTGGACATAGTTAGCCAGTTATTTGTTTTCCGATGCATGGACTTAATGGCGGAAGAAGCCGTAACAGACCAGCGGGTACCTGAACCACCCCACGATGGCAAAGAGTTCAGCATAGGGTGGTTCACGTAACCGATGGTCGTTTGAAACAGTGGTCGGCAACCACCGGGCCGCGGCCCATCGCGTGTCCGCAGAGAGGTGACACAAAAACGGACAAGGCCATAATAAAACCTCAACAATCTAACCACAAACCCTAAGACTAAAAACAGCACCCAACAGCAAACCAGACAAACACAACGCACTTGAGCAGCATGTCTGACTTCACAAACGATTACCATGTCAGTATGCCGCAATAATGCTGGGTCAGTTGTTTCCACTGCGCCCGTATAAGAGTGTCTTTCATCAGTTCGTATCTTCAACAAAATAATTATCGCTAAGAACGTGACTATTCCACTACTAGCTCGTAGCTAACCGGTCATGCCTAGTCAGTGCTAATTCTATACTTCAGAATCCGGATAATTATAAAGTTAGCACATCGGGTAAAAAAATTAGTTATGGCAAAACAAACATCAATCAATACAGAGTCAGAAGGGGTACAGGCACTGTTACCTTTCCCAAAATCTTATTAATGTGAGGCCTGATTTTCAATATTGATAAGTACAAAAACGAAATAACGAAGTAGTCCGGATGTAGAAAACACGTTACGTGTGTCAACTTCGGCCATATCTCCAATATGGGAACAGTTAATCGCCAGCCAACAAATGCAGATATCGCACTAAATAGCATCGCCGTCGTTTTTAGTATATTGTCAACATAAATTTCCTAATGCGTATAATTTATTGCATAGGCTTAGTCCGTTTGTGTAAAGGTGGTCCACCAAAATTTTGGTCAGGCTTTACCGGTCCGTCACTTGGAAAAGGTTGCCGACCACTGGGTTAAGGTTTCCTCCATCATCGCTTGACCTAGTGTTTTCGGTGTCCGGAATTTATCGCTTAACATAGAATATTACGACTTTTTTTAAATTTATTGTAATGTTTCGAAATAAAACCAGTTGCGACTTATATGGCGATGGTTCTGGTGGCATTTCACCAGACTTGCTCATTAGACAGTATTTTCATATTTATCCCGGGGGCGATGGAAACCGATGAGATGTCTCAACAACTCTCGTCCTTATCAGACAAAACGGTGAGAGATTATTTGGCATGTTACTTGTTTTATATACACATACATGATAATAGAGGGAACCATAATCAACTAGCGGCACATGAACCACCCTGCGGCTTCGAGAGGCCAGCAGTCCTCTCTCAGATATTTACCCTACACGGGATGCGAACCTGCGTTGGGTAATCAGAGGATATCATATTATCGACTAGAGAAGGGGTGTGCAAGCTGCGGCCCGCGGGCCTCAAGGAAAAATTGCGCGGCCCGCGGAAAAGTTCCAATTTTGGAGTTGTGGCGATTCACCAAACAAGGTTTTTAAATGTAGTTTAATCTGATACATGCGAGCAATTTCAATACTTTTTGCGTCGCAAAGCCTACTATACCCGAGTCCAATTTATTATCTATACCGATGACGTTATAATGCTCTACCAGCTAACTTCTTTGAAGCGAACATCGCGATTAACAAATCTCTCACTTGCCGAGCAGCGAGCGATTTAAGTAAACTGAAGAACGGATGCCAATAAATTAGTAAAAACGGGCAATTAACCCAACCTAACTCAAGTAGTTTGAAAAATTTACCATTGAAAGATACAGAAGCTAAATGAGTTTTAGTTTCAGCATATCAGTCAATTATGTCCAAATCTTGCCTAGAATTAGATAGATTTAACAGCGAAGTATTTGAAAATGATAGTTAGCGATTTTATTGAAAACACCTCGACCAAGATAACTTTCTACGTTTTAGAATTCAAAAATGGCACCTTTTGGCACAACATATTTGTGCGGACAATTTTGTTCTAAAATGTGCGTCATCGAATCCCCCTGTCGATCGGTTTGAAAGACAAACACTTGGAAAATGGACTTCAAATTGCTAGCACTTCCTTAAGGCAAATTTGGTAGTCGTGAAAAGTCAGCTGCAAATTTCTCACTGAATTCGTTCAAAGTCGGTGTGGTGTGACATTAAGTGTGAATAGCAATTTTCTTTCGAAATTTATGCGTTTTAATTCATCACTTATGTAAGGGCTAAAACTACTAATATAACCATGAATTAAATAAAAAAAAAAAAAATTTCTGCATGGGTGTGGCCCGCGCTTTCACCCAGTTATTTGTATGTGGCCCTCCTGTATTAAAGGTTGCACGCCCCTGCTTTAACAGACCAACAGTTACTTGAACCACCCTATGGATAAGATATTTATTCTGAGGGGGGGGGGGTTGGAAGCCGACAAGACGGCTTAATCGGACAGCCTTTAGTCTATTTACCAGTCCATGTTGGGATTGATTAGCCAGTTATTTGTTTCAGCTGCATGGACTCTATGACGGAGGAAGCCGTAACCGACCAGCGGTCACGTGAACCACCAACTACGGTGGCGAGGAGTCCAGCAATCCTCTCACGCATAATTTATCTTTGGAGAGCAGAATTGTACTTGAAAAAATGCAAGCGCGTATGAACAATAGAAGGCTATGCATGTATATTGTACTAATATAGTGACTTGGCAGAGCAAAGCTGTAGTTGGTTTGTATAATTGCAGGTTTTCGTATAATTAAGCTCCGTTGCGAATTGGGGAGAAAAGTGAACCTATTAAAATAAATTTTGTATAAACATTTGAAAAAAAGCAGTGTGATAGCACATAGTTGAGTGCTGGATAATTCCCAAAATTATATGGGGTTGAAGTCATAACGGTAAGACAAAGAATTCTCGTAGACAACGAAAGAGCAGGTGCTAGGTTCTGCGGGGCCCAATTAGAAATCTGATGGCAGACCCCCTACTCTTCATATTAGAATTTATGGGTCTTTATATAAAAAAAATAAAAAAATTTAATACTTGCTATAAAACAAATTTAGGCTGATAGGATGTTTTTATTGTTTTACTTTTAACATCAAGAAATGCAAAATAGGCAATTTCATTATACTCTTTCAGAAAAATACTTTTCTAGCCATTTTATTAGAAAATTCATTCAAAATCAACAGCTTCAGCTATTTTGCTTTCTAGAAGAAGCATTGACAAACAGTTGAGTCTTTTAATTGCTAATGGCGACAGAACGATAATTTACTAAATTTACCATGCATAACAAATTAATATTATGAGAAAGATTATCTCACTTTATATTTTACGTTTTCAGCAGTATTTTGTACCTCATAATACAGATAAATAATACAGAAAAAACTAGCGCAGGGTGCGGGGCCCAATTCGATAAAAGCGGCCAAATCGACTTGAAACCAGCCTTGAGGAAGAGATGTTACATCTTTGTTCAAAAATGGTTCCATCTATTAAAGTATTTTTATTGACATTGGTACTTGTATTGGAGAATATCAATTATGTCAAGCGTACACCCAGCATTCGGTTGCTACTCCATGTTTAGCGCTCAATGGTATTTTATAATTTTTGATAGTTGCCTCTCCAGCGACATAGTGTTTTTAGTTACGCATTCATTTGCATTACGTCAAAAATTCGAAAATTATATAAAGCTGCAAATGTTACGATACCAAATAAATTGTCCCAAGTCGGTAAAAACAAGTTGATTTTTTGAAAAATATAATTTATACTTTTTTCGAATTTTGGCAAATATTTGAAAGTAACGACTTTTTATTAGGATGATTTTCTGTTGAGCAAAATATTCAAATCAATGACCGATACCAGCATTTAAAATGCCTTGCCGTATTAATTTAGCTTTTTTCAACATAACTTATGGTTAAAAATAAAAGCATTAGCCAGCCTACTACTCTAAAATTTCACGGCCATCTGTTGACATAAAAAGTGTGGTAAACTGCCCGATAATTAATTTTTGATTCATATTTTCATACTTACGAAAATATAAAAGCATTAAAAGTCTAACACGGCAATCCGTGGGCAAAAAATGTCTGGTCAAATAGCCAGGTTGTAGATAACAGTTATTCCATTGTTTATTGTATGCAACTAGTTAATTATCCCTGACTGAAATATTTGATGAAATGAATGAAAATAAAAAGAAATACTTGCTAAATATTATAGACAGAATTGAAAAAAATAATTAAAAACAAATTGCTCGAAAATTTTGAAACGAAACGAAAAGTGATTATCTCAGACAGACAAACTGAAGAAATGTGGAACTAATATAATTTTAAATCAAATATTCCAATAAAATCATCCTCGGATACGGCGTCTGTGACTCACTGGAAGCCATCGAACTCAACCCCAGTATCAGCAATCAATGCTTTGAATCTTTCCAACTGATCATCGTCGAAGTCGCAATACCGCATGTTCAATGTTCCAACGTGGCATTGATGAACAATTTCACTGATTGTAGATAATCCTGCATCTCCGAGTTTGCTGACTTTGTTCAAACTCAGATTCAAGCTGTCGATCTGAAATGATACATGTTGTTATCATATAATATTTATGAATTGATATATTGGTCATGGTTGGAACGCATACGGGTTGGTTTGCTACTTTAGTATTTCCCTTGAATACTCCAGGTACTTTGACAGGCAGATTAGAAACCTATCAAAAAATTTGTCCATCTGACATTGTGGAGCAGAAAGTGGAAAACTAATGCTAACTCTATATCTAAATCTAATTTTTTCCAATTTTAATAGAGAATCAATGCAGAGAGACAGGAAATATAAGCGCAAAGATAAATAAGCCTATCTTCCATGTCAGATTAGAAGACTTGGCAACAAAACGCTCATCTGACATTGTGGAATAGCAATCCAACTTCACCAGAATCAACAGGGCGGAGTGTTATAAGAGAATAGAAAAATGGCAAAAATATAGACCGCAAATAAAATATAAATTTTTTCACATGGCCTCAAGTAATTTGTGAAACTGCAAAAAATATAATTGTATTATTTTCTCTTGCCTTCCAAGCTAAAAGTTGTTTATCTAATAAAACCTTCATACACTCATTATCACTCCGGAGAATATAAAGCAATTACTTATAAGTATCAGTTTATTTCGACTCCATTATCAGCATAAAAATAAAATGATTGGTACAAATAAATAAATAAAAACTGAATATAAAATCAGGAGAGCAAACAAAACCTTAGATTAGGTATAAAGCGTACAGTATATAAGATAGAAGGTTTTGCCAAGTAGAAGTGGTACGTGCTCACTCAACAAAAATAATTGAAATATTCCACACGCTCACACAAGTACCGTAATTGCTCAGTTCAATGATTTGCTAATTGTGCCAAGCGCTACAAACCAGGGTTGAAGCTGTAATGTCTTGTTGGAGCTAGAGGCAAGTCTATCATCTTAGCTGGAGCCGCAGCTTCAAGAAATTTTAGTGTCTCCAGCCCTCAACCAATTAATTTCTTTTTCCAATTCATTATTTTCATACAAGCTTTATACAAATGATAAAATTCATCCTTTTTCAGTTTTAAAACTTTTTTCAATAGGTAAATATTAATTTATAATTTTAATTTTTAAATTTATATAATTAAGATTTTTATTTTATTTTGAATTATTTAGAAATTCAATTTATTAAGCATTGGTCTTAACTATATGGATGTTCCCCCCACCATTGACTCTGCTTATACTTTAAAATTGCAAAATTTTTGATGCATAATTGGGATTAATTTGGAGAGATGGCGCTCAACTGGTTCACATAACGCAAGCCATAATTTTTCTTTAAAATATTTAACCATGTGCCGCTCACAGGTACTGGTAGATAATTTAAGCCTATCGCAGGTTTTTCAGGAATAATTTTTGGTAATTGCAATTGAACTGAAACTTGTCGAAATTTATAATAACATTGAAGGTATTTGATGATCAAGTTCGAACACAATTGATAACTGAATAACACGCAAAACCACGAAAACGAGGCAATGTTCATAACCTTGCCGATTATCTATATGAGCAAAAGAATTGTCTGAGTGGCTACAAAAAATTGCAATTGTAACGATATTGTTATAGTAGGGCTGGGCATTTTCGAAACCCTGGTGTTTCGAAATCAAAACGAAATTTTGCCTTCGAAACGAAACACACGTTTGTCATAAACAGTAAAATATGATACTATTATTATCCATCGAATTTAATGTATAATGACACATATTTTCCAGAATTAAATCCACAAAAAGGAAGCACTGGATGCCAATTCGAGAGGATAAACGATAATGACGGGGCTCACAAGCAGCATAGCATGGGGCCTTTCAACGTCTCAATGCGGCCCTGCCCTCACCTAATGTAATGGGTGGGCTCATTTGCTAATTTATCCGATGCCACAAATCCTTGTGATTCAGTGTGGTAATTATATATCAGGGAGAGCCATAACCGAGTACCTGACTATTTCAAATACATTCTGAAAAAAGATATTTTCGAATTCCGAATACATTCTAAACTCCAGGAACATAGCAATTGGACTTATATTGATTGAAATTACTTATTTTTTTGCTCTAAGGAAATGGACTTGATAAACATTACAGTATTTATGAATTGTGGTGTATCTTGGCAAGCACAGAAAAAAAAAACTAGGTGGAATGTTTTAAATTATACAGTACAATCAACATTACCTCGGATTTTTGACACGGCTTATTTTCGTTATGACTCTGACTGTTTATCGTCAGCGTGACATCAACATCGTTGAGCTAAATTTGATTTGATTTTAGATTCATTACGCGGTTACCCAGACTATCTCGATCGACTATGTTGAAATATAGGATAATAATTGTAAAATAATTTTAACCAAAAATCTTTCTCGACGTGTTATAAGTACTTAAAGTCGGCGCCGACTTAAATCCTTTTTTGTCGGCAGTAATTTATTGCGCCTCGCAAAGAGTTCCTTCGAATACGATAAAACAAAAAATGAAGTAATTGTAAAAATTTTCAATCAACACGTGGACGGCAGTGGACGTGGACGCGATATTTAGTATTCTTATAAACACAAAAAACGATATTTGAGAGTCACGATATTCGAATAAATTCGGATATTAAATTCGAATTGGACATCCTTGAATGATACCTTGACTAATTTCAGGTTGCATTTGCTATGACGTCATAATATCCGTTTCGAAAGCGAAACGCCGCCGTTTCGACATATCAGTGTTTCGAAACGCCCAGTCCTACTTATTAGTGATTGGTCATTATTACAAAATGAACATGGAAATCGAAGCTCAAGAAAATATCAATTGCATAACAGTTTGAAACTCTCAGATTCCCATCTTATACCCACCACCTCAGGGTGTGATAAAATGGGTAGAAAATGCTGAAACATGGGATATTTTGGTTCGTAAAACTCATCAAAAGGCTGCTTGCACAGAGCTTCGTTCTGGGTAAAAAAAAAGGAAAATTGGCGCATAATACAGCAATGTCCAAAACATTACTAAATTATAGCCAAAATCTGGTCAGGTATATGAACCGGTTTTACCTTGGCATTACTAGTGTTTTCCTTGAATGCATTTATTCTTTCAGCTGTCAGATTGCAATCCTGAGCCTCTAATGCCTTCACCTGACATTTTGAAACAACTAATCCAACTTCGCTAAAGCCAGCAGTGCCAAGATTCTTGTTCCAACCGATATCTAGTATATCCAACTGAAATAAATAAGATCAGTGAACCAATCTAAATAAACTCAGTCACAAAATGTGATCGTGACAGAGAATAAAAGTATGAGAAATGAACAAAGAAAACCATAAAAACTGATTGATCAGGATAGACAAATTTTTTAACAAGAATTTAACAGTCTGCGGCTTTGATGAAGATTCAACTCAAACAAAATTTGTTAGCTGATTAAAATTTTTAAGTTGATTATGACATATACACTGCATGGAGAAAAGGCGTTTTAATAATAAGTTTTTCAACTACCAGACCACTTTTATCAAATTTTATTAAAATATTATTCACGTACAAGAGAGCAAAAATAGCGTATTTCACTTTTTAAAGAGGCATTTCGTTTAGGTTAACTTATATATACAGTTGTTATAGCAGTGGGCGATAGCATTGCACTACCTTCAACACAGAAAACCTTCGCAACAAACAAAAATCAACAGTCACTCAGACATATTAGCAAGACTGTGATTGCATGGATAGAACCTAGAACAGTGATTCCCATCTTTTACCCCTGCGAACCGACAATACGCAACAATATGGCTCATGCACCAGCAGTTAAATTATGAAACAGGCGTGTTGTTTTGATCAAAATATTTTGTAGTGAATGTCCGATTAAACACTAACAAATATGATTAGTTGCCAAAGTGTTAATCTCCGCAAACGGTTAATTAAAGACGATGTTACAAACTTGAGTGAAATTTGTTTTCATGGTTGGTTTTGCGATCATTCAATAATAAATTCGGAATAGAATATATGGGCAAATGAAATATTACGACCAGATTTATGAGTTTTAAGTACTTTTTTTTGGAACAACAGAAATCTGACAAATAACACGCAAACCCATGAAAATGAGGCAACATTCACAACCATGCTAAATATATGTCTGGGCGGAAGATACATCTTGAGCGGCTGCACAAATTGCAATTGTTATGTTATTGTTGACTCATTAGTGATTGGTCATTGTTACGGAAATAAACAAGGAAATAGAAGCTTCAGATCCCACTCCCATGCCCACCACTACAGAGTGAGATAAATTGAATGGGCAATGCTGAAACCTGAAATATTTCTGTTTGTCAAACTCATTGAAGGTTGCGTTCACAGAGCTTCGTTGTGAGCGTAAAGCGTGTAATAATAATGTCGCATAATACAGCAATGTCCAAAACATTGGGGTGTCGCCACTCGATAAGAGGGAGGGACAATATAGAATAATTTATTAATCTAGAATATTCTGGAATAGTTAAATCAAATCTAGAATACCAAATCCTATTCTATTTTTAAATTTATTCATCTGACATTGTAGAATAGCTATCAAACTTAACCAAAATCAGCAGTGCGAAGTGTTATCAGAGAATAGAAGAAAAATGGCAAAATATAGGCCGCTAAGAAAATAAAAACATTTTCACGCGGTCTCAAGTAATTTGTGAAACTGCAAAGAATATTATTGTATTGTTTTCCCTTGCCTGTTTCTCTAATAAAAGTCTTTATGCACTCACTATTACCTCAAATAATATAAATCAATTACTGAGATATCACTCAGTTCAACGACTTGCTAATTGTGCTAAGCACTGCGAAAAAGGGTCGAAGCTGTGATGTATTGTTGGAACTGGAGCCAAGCCTATTATTTTAGCTGGAAGCGAAGCTTCCAGGAAATTTAGTGCCTCAAGCTCAGAACCAATTAATTATTTTTCACATTCAAAATTTTCTTAAAAACTTCATACAAATGATAAAATCCATTATTTTTCGGTTTTATTCTATTTTTTCAACAGGTAATTTCTGATATTATGTTACAATTTCAGAGTTGAATCCGTATAATTAAAATTTCCATTTAATATTCATTCAATTTAGAAAATTATTTTAATGAGCGTTGGACATAACTGTATAGATATAGATGTTTCTGAAAAATTGTTCTTATACTTTAGTATTGCGAAATTTGTGATACATAATTGGGGATTGTTTTGGAGATATGGCGCTTACAAACTGGTTTAGAGAAAATCTATGATAGACTGGGATTAAATTAGCTAACAATCTGTTAGCGGCATGGATGGCTCTAAACAGGTTGTTAGCTAATTTATGCCCAGTCTATCGTAGATTTTCTGGGAATAATTTTGAATGCATTAAATTGGAGCGCGTAGGAAGTTATAACGACATTTAAGATATTCAATAAACAACTTATTTATGAAAAAATTGTTACGTTATTGTTGACCTTTTAGTGATTGGTCACTGTTCCTGAAATAAACAAGAAAATCGAAGCTCGGGAAAAATATCCATTACATCACAGATTAAAATTTTCAGATTCCATTCCTATGCTCTCCACTTCATGGTTTGTTGAATAGTGTGGGCAATGCTAAACCTGAAATATTTCAGTTTGTCAAACTCATCAATGGCTGCTTGTACAGAGTTTTGTTACGAGTGTAAAGCATGTGATAATGTCGTATAATACAGCAATCTCCAAAACATTTGGGTGTAGCTGCTCGATAACCAGTTTGGTTCGTCGCGACTTCTCTTCCCCAGTAAATAAATTATTTTTTTTGTCGTGGTTTATGATTGTGATATTTTTTACTGGTTGAAAAAATAAACTTGACTTGACATTTCTAAATGATGGCAAATATAGGTTCAGGTATGTGAACTGGTTTTACCTTTGCATTACTAGTGTTTTCCTTGAATGCTTTCATTTCTTCTGATGTCAGATTGCAACTCCTAGCTTCGAATTCCTTCACCTGACATTTTGAAACAACTGTTCCAACTTCACCAAAGCCAGCAATGCCAAGATTCTTGTTCAAACTGATATCTAGTATATTCAACTGAAATAAATAAGATCAGTGAACCAATCTAAATGAACTCACAAAATGCCAAGATCATTGTTCGAACTGACAATCAGTGTATCTATCCAACTTAAGTAAAAAAAAGAAACTGGCGAATCGACCGATCAGAGTAAATTGGCCAGAAAATGATATTTCATTAGATAAAAAACAGTGATATCAGCCATTCGAACAGAAAAGATCTCACAAACTGTTTAAAAAGCTGTTGACATTATAAACCTTTTTTCTAACGAATTCAAGCAGCCACATACTGCTCGGTTCCGACTGCTGTCGTGAAGGGTCATTGTGAATGTGCAACAGGATTGCTGATCCAATCGATATTTCATGGTAGATTACAAAAATGCTGGCCGGCACAGGTTCATGAATTGTCTTTCAATTTGTCTTGGGAGTTATAAATGACTAAAAATACTCTGTGGTGACCAAAGTCATTCCACTGGAATAGCCATTTAACAACTCATAAACTGTTTGTTATATCAAGACATGCTTGATTTATATCCAATGCATGGCCATTTATGTAAGTTAACCTGTTTGTTACCTTGGCATTGCGAGTGTTTTCCTTGAATGCTTTTATTCCCTCTGCTGTCAGATTGCAATTCTGAGCCTTCAATTCCTTCACGTGGAATTTTGAAACAACTGTTCCAACCTTACCAAAACCAGCAGCGCCAAGATCCTTGTTGTTACTGACATTAAGTTCATCCAACTAAAATAAATATTTAAATTTGTCCTTCAATTCATAAATAAATTAAATATTCATTTTGAAAATTTATCATTTATTTATTATCATTTCATTTTTTTGCCTAATCGGTGCCAGATGTTATGCGAAGTATCTGATGTTCTCTCAATCCAGGATTTTTTAACCTTGTGTTTACTAGAATATCAAATAAAAACATTCTAAAAAACTGGAAAATCTAAATTTAAAAAACATTCGGAATATTATTTGAAAATGTAAATAAACAATGGTTCGGGGTTGACCTTCTCTGGATATCAATTCACTAAATTCACATACACTCTGTACAATAAAGTGAGATCCAAGGTTTATCAACAAAATATTTACAACATATTTAATAGATTAGGCAATAATTCGTTATCATATTCCAAGTCTCAATGAATATGTTACAGACCTTTCCACAGACTTTCCATTTACTCAATTCCATTATTTGATCTTTAGTTGCTCTGAACTCTTTCCATGGGTCCATCAGAAGTTCTTCGACCTCACTCTCAGTTGCAAACTTAGATATTGCAAGAAATAGATTGAATGTCATGCCGATTATTGATCGGATATCCAAAGTGGAAATCTAGTAAAACGAATAGGATTATTGGGAGGAAATTTTGAAAATAAAAGATGAAACTTCATATCAATGCCAGCAATCTGTGGAACACTATGACTCTCGTCAAAATAAATCTAAAATGACAAACTTTGTCACAGGTCAGTGCTTATATTCAGGATTTCATATAATATATCTAACCAAATTGTTAAATTTGCAATAAATATTAGCAAGCAATAATAAAAGTACTCTAATACAATTTATTAGTCTATTAGTTACACCGTCGAGCTTCAGCGGGTCAAAAACATAGTCAGCTACAAGGGGCTATTTTTTTTTTCTATCAAAAAGAGTGTGTGACATGCTTGGGTTATTTTTTTGCGGAGATTTTTTCATGAAAAGCACCTAACAAATAATACAAATGAAATTAATTGCTTCTCACTCCAAATTCTCTAAATAAAAAGTGAAATTGCGGAAAAAGAAGATCAATTTTATTTTCTCTACATCGCAACCTAGTTTGGCAGAAATGCTGAATTGAAAATCACTACGGATATACAGATTATATTTAATGATAGATCAAGCAGAAATAAATAGCAAAACCTTTAATCCTGAGTGACTTCCAAGAGCGTCCACTTTTTCTTTTGTGAGTTGGCAATTTTGCATGACAAGGTCAATAACCTTATTATTTGCTGTCAATAAAGAACCGAGAGCATTGAATCCTTTTTCATCCATTGGGTTCTCACTGATATCAAACTTGGATAGCTGAAAACATAGAAATGAAAGTTAACTAACAATAAGATTACATATCTGAATTTTCTCTAAAAGTTGTGACAGATACGATTAATAAAAACCAACATCAAAAGTTTATCATTATTTCAAGCAAGCAAATTCTCATCATATGTTTCACAGTGTTACTTTGGTATGTTTGAACTGGGCGTAAATATAGTGTATCAATTAGTTCAAATAAAAATGGAGATAAAAAAAAAACCTTGCATCTGTGTTAAGTTATTTTTTACATTCCTACTCCATATATTACTGAAGATATAAAAAATTTTTGCTTGACCTGCTGATGATGACTTATGTTACACGACTCTGTTACTGTCATGCGAAGGGAGCATGAATAATAGATATTAGGTCAGAAAACTAGGATTGTCAATGTAGCCCATCGTGCTAAGTGTTAGAAGTACGCTTGTCGCCACATCTCTGATTACCCTGCGTGGGTTCGCAGGATTGAATCTTGTGAGGAAAAATTATGTGTGAAAGAATTACTGGACTCCTTGCCACCGTAGGGTGGTTCACGTAACCGCGGGTCGGTTGGGACTTCCTCCACCATCAAGTCCATGCGTCTGAGCAAATAACTAACCAATCCCATAACCGACATAGACTGGTAATCTGATTAGAGTTTGTGGTCCGCCATATGATTAAGCCGCTTCATTGCATTTCCTCCCTCCCAGGAAAAAGATGCAATTCCTATCCTATTGCTGACAACATAATATGTGTACCAGGTTAGGGTTCAGGTTGTGCGCCATCTTGGTGCACATACTTCTGGAGGTCCCTATATAGACCTAAAATTTCCCTATTTAGTATGTAAAATTAATTTTGGTGTATGTATTATTCTTTTTTTATCAAAAGTTTGTTAAAAATGTTTTGGATGGTTAAATATAAAAATTTTGTAATAAATACAGTAAATTACAATAATAGTGAAATGCAAGAAATTAATATGTAATTGGCATTTAAAATTTGAGGGAAATAACAAAACTTTATTCGGCAGTTGAACTACATCACAATAAATGTCACAAACTACACCGATTTAAAAATATGCTTGGCGTATACATTATAAAACTATATCAAAAACTGTTTGCGGCCCTCTGCACAATTCCCAAAATGCAATAAGGCCCTCGAAAACCCACAAGTTTGACACCCCTGATCTATATCATACCTTCAATCCAGAATGACTCCCAAAAGCATCAAGTTTGATTTTTGTTAATTGGCAATCCCGCATGATGAGCTCATCAACTCCAACACTATTTGAAAGTGAACCAAGCACATTAAAAGCTTCTTTATTCATTGAATTTAGACTGACATCCAACTTTGGAATCTAATATTAGAAAATTACAAAAAATTAAGGGTGGTAAACAACTTTGCAGACAACCACTTGGTAGTGAACTCAGAACTTGAAACCATCTAGTTTGAGAAAATTGTTACAATCTATATTGGTTGGCTTTGAATTTAAACAAGTTCTGACTTGCAATATCACCAAGTCGTCAGATATCTATGCATTTTATACTTTTTCAAGCTATCAAAAAAATAAGCAAAAGAATTAAATAGACTGATCTATATTAAACCTCAGATATGTATATGTTTGTTTAGTGTAAATTTCTCAAATTTGTATGAAACAATGACATTAGTATATTTCCTATGGTATTTTTCTAAGATCTAGATATCTTCCGTGAATCATAACAGGCATTAGCAGAAATGCTGAATAGCAAACCCCTTCAACATATACTTTGCAGATTATGCAGACAATAATATATCAATCAGCAATAAAAAACGAAACCTGTAATCCTGAGTGACTTCCATGAGCATCTAGTTTTTCTTTATTCAGTCGGCAATTTTGCATGACAAGTTCAGAAACTTTTATATTTGTTGTTAAAGCGGAACCAAGAGCATCGAAGCCTTTTTCATCCATTGGATTTTCACTGATGTCAAACCTGGATAACTGAAACACAGAAAAATAAATGGATTTCAAGTATCAATAAGATTACATATCTAAATCTTATCCGAAAGTTTTGTAACAGATATGACTGATGAACCCTGGCTAATCAAGAAAGGCAGTTTCTTGTACAAAAATGGTTGTTTGTATCGACCCTAGACCAGTGGTTTTCAAAAGTGGGGTGCAGACAATTTTTTGATGGGGTGTAAGGGGTTAAGTTTTAATTAAAAATAAAAATATTTGTTAAATTTGATCTTGCACGCCTTATTTTGGATATTTACATATTTGATTTTAGATATTCCCGCAAAAAGAAGACTTTACTATCCAAATTTACCAATATCAAACATCATAAAACCAGCTGTTTTGTGTTTATTTTCTAGCCAACTCGACAAAAGAGCAACAGTGGCATGATATTATATTATAACTTGGTCATACTTTTAATCCAGAATGACTTCCAAGAGCATCAAGTTTTGCTTTTGTTAGCTGGCAATTTTTTGCAATGAGTTGGTCAACTTCATAGTTTGTAAAAAGGTCACCAAGAGCATCAAAAGCTTCTTCGTCCATTGAATTTTGACTGATATCAATAACGGATATCTAAAAACATAAAGATAACGAACATCAGTGCAATAAAGGCGGGTATTTTGGCATTTGAATGTTTGAAGGCTGGTGCCTACTAATACAGAAGAGTGAATTTAGAACCAGAAACACAAGTTGATTTTCTGATATATATCAACATAACGCATCAAAATGTCGTAAAACAGTGAAAAATAAATAATAAGACTCAATTATATGCCATCCATATAATCCCTTTAAAAACATTTCAACACCTCAAAAACAAACTAGCTAAACAATAAGCTACAAATAACAGACCCTTGAGCGAAAAAGTTTTTTTGTTCAAAAAATACGTAGAAAATACATGGATGAAATGTAAATATCTAAAATAAACAAATGTAAATATCCAAAACAAGTCGGGCAGGATCAAATCTAACAAATATTTTTATTTTTAATTGGCTTCACGCCCTCCCAAAAATTGTCTAAGCCATTGTGCCCCACCGTTTGCCCTAATGGGACTATCTTCAACAAGCAAAGTAAGAAATGTTAATGTCCAATGCATGACCATGCACGTGAGTTAACCTGTTTGATACTTTGGCAAGATCCTTGTTGTTGCTGACATCTAGGTTATCCAACAAGAATAAATAATTAAATTACGGTAGTCCTTCAATTCATAAATAAGTTGAATATTTATTTGTGAATTTATCAAATTTATTATCAATTTATTATTCTGCCCAGTCTATGCCAGATGTTATGGAAAGTATCTCCCGTTCACTTATGCCATTCCAGGTTTTTATTAACTTCTGATTATCAAAATAGTAGAAACTAGTACTACTTTAAAATACCATGGTGATCTGTAGACATAAAAATATGAGATAAACTGCCCATTCGTATTTAGTTTTGATACGTATTTTTGCAATCTTACAAACTCGTTATCGCTGTTAAACAATTCTCAAGATCTTATATAAAATCCAGTATGGTAGAATTTAATTTCGTACAATAAAAATTACATATAAATTTCAGCAGTAAATCAAAATACATATTCATCGCCTCGAAATCCACGCGGAACAGTCACCTCGATTACAGCACTTGTTAAAAGAGCCGACTTTTTCAACGAATACTGATTTTTCTATTGTGCAAAGTAATCAAACCATGACTGATACAGGCTTGTTTGAATTGTCTTGCTTTATTAATTCAAATGTCTTCAATTTAACCTTGTGGTTTTAGTAACAATATGGTTCTCAACGCCGAACCAACATAATTTGGTGATTTTCAATGCCTAGAGAAGCATTTCAGATTGTCGCGGGCATCCTTACAACAGAACTTTTTTGTTTACGGTTTTATTTTCAGTATATTATATTCCCGCTTTTCAATCAAAAAACTTTGCTTTGTGGATTCACTACTTAATTTGCCTTGTTGCCGATAAATGTATTGTAACTCTCACCAGATTCACAATTCTGTGCGAGTACAGGAATTAGGTGATTATCATCGTTATTGTGGCCCAAATTTGTGGATGATTTGTGATTTAGAGAAAATGAACACCAACGTTAAAAGCGTTTAGCGCTGAATAATATGTGATGTACAAAAACAATCGACGACTTTAGCAAAATGAAATTGCATGCGTTATTCGCGAATTTTTCAGTTTTTCAAAAATTTGAAAAAGAGTGGGGGGTTTTCTTCATTCAGTTGGCAATTTTGCATGACAAGGGAGAGACCTTTAATATTTGTTGTTAAAACGGAACAAAGAGCATTGAGGCCTTTTTCACCCATTGGGTTTTCACTGGTATCAATCTTGTATAACTGAAACATAGATAAATAAATGAATTTCAAGTATCAATGAGATTACATATCTTAATCTCATCATCTTATCCAAAAGTTTTGTAACAGATATGAGTGATAAACCCTGGCTAATCAAGAAAGGCAGTTTCTTGTACAAAAGTAATTGTTTATATCGACCCTAACCCAGCAGTTCTCAAAAGTGGGGTGCAGACAATTTTTTGAGGGGTTGTAAAGCTAATTGAAAATAAAAATATATGTTAAATTTGATCTTGCACGCCTTATCTTGGATATTTACATCTTTGATTTTTGATATTCCCGAAAAAAGAAGATTTCACTATCCAAATCTACCAATATCAAACATCATAAAACCAGCTGTTTTGTGTGTATTTTCTAGCCAACTCAACAAAGAGCAACAGTGGCATGATATTATAATATAACTTGGCCATACTTTTAATCCAGAATGACTTCCAAGAGCATCAAGTTTTGCTTTTGTTAGCTGGCAATTTTTTGCAATGAGTTGGTCAACTTCATATTTTGATAAAAGGTCACCAAGAGCATCAAAAGCCTCTTCATCCATTGAATTTTGGCTGATATCAATAATGGATATCTAAAAACATAAAGATAACGAACATCAGTGCAATAAAGGCTGGTATTTTGGCATTTAAATGTTTGAAGGCTGGTGCCCACTAAAACAGAAGAGTGAATTTAGAACCAGTAACACAAGTTGATTTTCTGATATATATCAACATAACGCATCAAAATGTCGTAAAACAGTGAAAAATAAATAATAATACTCAATTATATGCTATCCATAAAATCCTTTCAAAACATTTCAACACCTCAAAAATAACTAGCTAACAAAATGCTACAAATACCAGACCCTTAGACGAAAATATTTTTGCTCAAAAAATACGTAGAAAATACACGGATGGAATGTAAATATCTAAAATAAAAAAATTTAAATATCCAAAACAAGTCGGGCAAGGTCAAATCTAACAAATATTTTTATTTTTAATTAGCTTCACGCCCTCTCAAAAAATTGTCTAAGCTATTGTGCCCCACCGTTTGAGAACCACTGCCCTAATGGGACTATCTTCAACAAGCAAAGTAAGAAATGTTAATGTCCAATGCATGACCATGCACGTATGTTTGATACCTTGGCAAGATCCTTGTGGTTGCTGACATATAGGTTATCCAACAAGAATAAATAATTAAATTACAGTACCGGTAGTCCTTCAATTCATAAATAAGTTCTTTTTGTGAATATATTCCATATTCGAAATATTATTTGAAAATGTCTTCGGAATAGATGATGGTTTGGGGTTGACCTTCTCTGGATATCAATTTCCGTAATGGATTAGGCCAGAGGTGTGCAACCTTTTTCATTGGCGGGCCAAATACAAGTAACTGGGTGAAGCTACGGGCCGCACATTTATTTAATTCAGACTTTTTAGTAGTTGCAAGCCACAAAAATTGCTTATATTTGCTAGTGATCTTACAGTATCATTATTGATTCTTGCAGAAATAGTGAGATAAAACGCGTAAACTTCTGAAGAAACTGCTATTTAAATTTATTGTCACACCCACTTTAAACCAATTCTGTGAGAAATATGTTTTTGTAATATATATCGTGTATTTTGCAAGAAATCTTGCTAACTTGTTTTACTATCGTTCCCTTACTCCGCGTGCCGACCAGTATGGAATAGCGCAAAATGAACGAGGTTGCCCCACAAGACTAGTTGTGATAGATTTTGCAGTGTGTATTGGAGACTAGAAAATATGTAAGGGTGGTGTCACAGTAAATTTTGTGATATGATACAGACCTTCCCACAAAGTTTGTATTTGCTTAATTTCTTTAATTGCTCTTTATTTGCTTTAGAGAAATCCAACGAATCCATTAGAATTTTTTTGACTGCCCTTTGACTTGCAAACTCATATATGGTGAGACATAGATCAGATGACATTTGAGTGATGGATTGAACATCCAGAACATTGATCTGAAAATTATTGCATCTGTTGATAAACTACAAGGATAAAGGTTCCTAGAATATGGAAATTTATGGGTATCACATTTTATCCCAGACCGATCAAATATCATTAAAAATAGCCAATGGCGATATTGCAGTAGGTTATGAAGGAGACTGCAAATACCTATGGCAGGCCTTCTTCTATTCACTATTAAACTTATTAATGCTTACATTTGATACGAAACTAGTATGCACATATAAACATACAAAATAGCAAACAACTGATGACCCCCACCTCACCCAGGGTGTAAAAAATTAGGTATGTTCTGCTGACACGCAACCGCAAAACTTGAAACTTTTCTATCAGAACCGTTACTCTTTCCATTTTAGTTGAAGACTCAAGTTCAAATTTGTTAAAAGCAACATCCCAAGCAACTCAATTAAAAGTGGAAAGAGTTCTGATAGAAGGGTTACAAATTTGTTCAAAGCAACACTGACGCACTCAGAGCTTTATATATTATTCATATCAGCACCTTCATACTAGGGACTTTAATTCTCAAATCAAAATATCTTCTTCAAAACTTCTTCTTCGACCTAGTCAAAGCTCGGGACTTTGCTTAGAGCAAACATGCAACTTCTCATCAGTACTCTTTTCACCTTTAGTTGAGGGCTCAGGACCTTGCTTTGAGCAAACTTGCAACTCTTTCCACGTTAAGTTAAGGACACGAGACCTCGGATCTCTTTTATCAGTACTATTTTCACTTTTAGTTGAGGGCCCGGGACCTTGCTTTGGGCAAACTTGTAACCATTCTATCAGTACTCTTTCCACTTTTAGTTGAGGGCCCGAGACCTTGCTTTGAGCAAACTTGCAACGCTTCTATCAGTACTATTTTCAATTTTAATTGAGAGCCCGGGACCCTGCTTTGTGCGAACTTGTAACCATTCTATCAGTACTATTTTCAATTTTAATTGATAGCCCGGGACCTTGCTTTGAGCAAACTTGCAACGCTTCTATCAGTACTATTTTCAAATTTAGTTAAGGTCCCGGGACCTTGCTTTGAGCAAACCTGTAACCATTCTATCAGTACTATTTTCAATTTTAATTGAGAGCCCGGGACCCTGCTTTGAGCAAACCTGTAACCATTCTATCAGTACTATTTTCAATTTTAGTTAAGGGCCCGGGACCTTGCTTTGAGCAAACTTGCAACTCTTCGACTTTTAGTTGAGGGCTCGAGATCTTGCTTTGAGCAAACTTGCAACTCTTCAATCAGAATCCTTCACGATTTTAGTTGAGGACTTGAGACCTTGCTTTGGGAAAATTAGCAACTCTTCGATCAGAACTCTTTACTTTACGCTACTAGTTAGGACCTCGGGACTTTGCAACTCTTCTATTAGAAGTTTAGAACTCTTCCCACTTTAAGAAATTTATGCTTTTTTAAGACTTAGAACCTTGATTTGTGCAAACACTTTTACCACTTACTAATATAGCCGACTTGTTAGCTGATGACTTTAAAATATTAATAGTCTTGCTATAATAATTCAATTGTGTTCAATGTTACTTGCGATTGTAGTCACTTGCAACAAAATAATAGCACTACCACTTAAATATAACTATTCCAAAGGTTTTGGACTTTTACCTTTCCACAAACTTTCCATTTACTCAGTTCCAGCAGCTGATTTTTGCTTGCTTTGAAGCAATCCCACGGATCCATCAGAAGTTCTTTGACATCATGTTCAGATGCAATCTTGGCAATTGCAAGATACAGATCAAACGTCATGTTTGTAATAGTTCGAACATCAAGAACGCGGATCTGAGATAAATGAAATATGTTCATTAGGTGAATAAAAATAAAAATTCTCAAAACTGCATAACTAGACTAGTGAAACTTGATTTGAGATTTATCGAAGATAGTCTTCATGAGTAATGTTAATGTACAAACCAATAAACAAGTATACACCACCACAACGCAACCGTGGTGCAAACATTGAGTAAGCAATGCTGAAAGGAAAAGACTTCAGTTTTTTTTCAATGTATATCCTTTTTAACTGGGACTGCTAATACGGAGCCTTGTTAACGATGAAAGAGATAAAATCGTATCGTATGCGAGAAATATTATTAAAAAAAACAATAATTGCCAACTTGCTATTAGTGTGAACCTTGAAGTTTTAACACTAGCCTGCTTATGTTGGCTTTTTGAAAATTATATAGTCAAAGTTGGCAAGGCGAATTCTTTTTCGAGTGAACCACAGTTGGGCGAGAAACAACACTAAGATTGGTTAGTGATTTAAGTGGTCATGAGGCATTTCATGGGTTTCAATTTTGGTTTACCTTTCCACAAACTTTCCATTTACTCAGTTCCAACAGCTGCTCTTTGCTTGCCTTGAAGTAATCCCATGCATCCATCAAAATTTCTTTGACACCATGTTCAGATGCGAACTTGACAATTGCAAAATACAAGTCAAATGTCATGTTTGTGATAGTTCGAATATCCAGAGCGCGCATCTGAAATATAAACTACCTGATAAAAATATAATGCCTCATTGTAAATTGATTAATTAATTACAAATTGAAAGATCATCTCTGGCGAATATTAAATTGTTAATAATTGATTAATTTCACGAAATTATTAGATAAAAAACAGAGCAAACCTACTCACAAAAATGAAAAACAAAGATTAAAGAATTGATTAAACCATCTTAAAATTTATATTTCGACCTTTAAATGGGAATGTCTTCCAAGCACACGAAGCTTTTCTTCTGTAAGTGAGCAGCCATGCATAACGAGTTTTTCCACTTCAATGTTTGTTAAAACTGAACCGAAGATATCAAAAGCTTCAACGGACATCGGATTTAAGCTGATATCAAATTTTGACACCTGTTAGGATGCAATACAAATTAATATCAGATGTATAAAATAAAGTTAAGATATGTTCATATAACTGTGATAATTCTAACATTTCAAGGTAATCGACTAAATATACAGTAGTTTGACAGATGGGAGATACATTTTTTATCTCATGATGTGAAATTAAGTGTATTCTTTTTATTATTTTCGTCAATAATATGTAGATTAGGTTTTTTACTAAACACTTGCCTTCACTATAGAGCCTTTCAAGTTGAACTCGAAGTTTTTCAATAATTCTGCATTGAGCTCACATTTGACAAGGCGAACTTGTTCCAGATGACCACATCGTCGCATGACACATGACATTGCACACATTCCTGCTGCAGTGAAAGACTCGTTTTCGAAGTTGATTTCTTGAACATGGGATCTAATGAGCTCGGCATCATTGGTTTCATATAACGCACCAAACAACTCCAACTTCTGATAGGATTTCGTACATTGATTTATCTTAGTTGTGAGTGCATGTTTGAGACAATTTTGCTTTTCTAGTCCAGTATCTGAAAAAAAAAAATTTAAAATGTTTAGAATCAGGGTTTACACATTTCTCATTGGAGAAATAACACCTATAAAATGACTCATTCATGTCACAAACCCCGGCACCCCGTTCTGTTACCAATATAACGGCTATATTGTATGGTTACTTTCTATAAACATGTGGTGGATGTTGCATTAACCACTTAGCCATCTTGAATGCGGTAGGGTAATTAGAGTAGCTATGGCAAAATTATTCCTATCTCTTGGCGCAATATGATAATATTTGATTTAGTCAATAATTGTAACGTCCTGATTGCACTTACCAGTTGTAAGATCTTTGATGAATTGAGCTTTAATTTTTTGATCGAAAACAGTTCCACACAGGAGCCGTAGAACAACGGACCAGTGATCTTTGTGGATCTCGTTAGTGACGAATGCTTGGAAAGTTGCGATATCCATGTTGGCGATGTACAGAGCAGCTAACATTTCTTGAAGGATTTGATGACTAAAGAACATCAGAGTGTCACCTTCCAAAAGATGTTGATTAAGTAGTGAGCTGCCTCCAGGTACTTCTATGATGAGATCACGTACCATTTCTTTTGTAAGTCCTGCGTTTTTTAGATCGGTATTGTTGAAAATAACTCGCTTTTCTCGAGTGGCTTCAAATGACATTTTCATCAAATTGTGAAGAATTATTTCAATCGATTTTTTCTCCAGAGTGTGTGAGGAACGCATGAAAATATGAAGTACTTTTGTCATTACATCAGTCATTGTATTAGGCAGATTCTCTGGGTTGGATTTATGAACGATTGCATTGAAAATCAAGAATAAAGGGACAGAAGACAATGGCACGAGTGCAGGTGACTGAAATGTCATCTTATTCCAGGATTCTTCCCCTGTTTCACCTACAACAGCAGTAAATAGTTTTTTGGTGTCATCACGTTCAAGGCCAGCAAGAGCAATAATTAATGGAGGTCGTAGCTCCAGGGGAAGGGATGCCATCCTGTGTTCACGTGAAGAAATAACCAATGTTACATGGGGAACAAGTTGCCTGATAAGATATTAAACATGATTGTGGCTGTACTAGATCTATCAGTATATGTCATCTTATTGTAATTTCCCTCTAGATTCCATATAGCCTGATCCAGGCCATCAATGAAGAAAATTGCCTCTGATTGGTGTTTCTGAAGCCATTCATATCCCGCTCTTAAAGTTTGACCTGATAGATTGGGTGCAAAGTTTCCGAAAAGCAGAGTACATGGAGTTAAAGCTTCTTCTGGAGTTAAACCATAAGAAACAAGAAGGTCTCTGAAATTCAAGTGATGAACAAATTTGAATCCATTTTTCTGTTTCTTGAACAACCGAGCAAACAATCCCAGTTTTGCTTTAGATTCGTTATCCAGTTCATTAGCGACGAGAACGCCTCGTGCAGTACGCTTCATCATTGTCGTCTTGCCCCCTCCAGCTTGACCCACTAGTCCTACGCATCGGCAACCTTCCTCACACAGCTGTTGGACTAGTTCATTTGGTGAGATCACTTCGACAATATTTTCATTCGCTTCTGTGACAGCGAACTCTTTTTCCTTCCTGTACTCTGTGACATCAGGTGCCATCTGTCCCCTGTAAAAACCAGTCACTTTGTTTAACTTGGGATTGACCTCAAATTCAGGTTCTTCCAAGTTTTGCTCTTTGTAGCTTTCTGTAACATTGACTGTTGTTTGCTTCCATGTTCTCCAATTGAAATAATCAATGAAGCTTCTCACACCTGAACAGAAGATTTCTATTAAGATTTTGATTAAAAGGAGATTTTAAGTTGGATATTAAAAGAATAGTATTTACATATATGGTAGGTTTTACACATTTATGCTGGAGGGAAGAACAGAAAATCAATAAGACAGCTTATCCATATGGCGAACCACAGCCTCTCGTTCGGTTATCAGTCAATGTCGTGTATGAATTTAGATAGCCGGTTAATTGTTTTTGGATGCATGGACTTTATGGTGGAGGAAGCCACAACCAACCAGTGATCACGTGAGCCACCTCACAGCGAGTAGTTTTAGTTTAGTCACAGTAATTAAAAATTAGTCCAAAATAGCTGTGATATACTTGAAAAAGACCCAGTGCTCTGTATTAGAAAAAGGCTAATTATCCAGATTATGGTTATGAAACACGTAAACCAATTTTGCAATCGTCAACTGGCAAAAACACTCGAAACAAGCGTCAGAAATTTTTCAATGTAAAAGTATAAGAAGAGTAATTCTATGGTTAAGGGTCGGGAAACATCCATCAAAATACAAAAGTTTTAAAGCTTCATCAAATTACGAAAATTAGCTCGCGTTTGGTTTCCAGTCCATGTCAGGAATGAGAATAATTAACACGTTATTTGTGTCAGATCCATGACGTAGTGGTGGAGTAATAACCAACCAGTGGTTAAGTTAACACTTTGACATGTTCATAAGAAACACTATTTTTTTGGGTAAGCTACTCTCGAAGTATGTGTACCCGGTTAGGGTCAGCCATAGGTTTCAGTCCATTTACACAACTTGATGTAAATTAGGCAAACAAAATTAGTTATCGCCATACTGGTACACATACTTCTGGGTCGCCATTTTTTGTTTATTAATAATTTTTTCATTAAATTAAAGGTGTTCACCTCCAAAAAGTTTCTCTGTAACTTGCTGGAAGAAGCCTGAAAAAAAAGCATATGTCAATGTAATGATAGATTTACAATAGTTTGTAGAGGCAAAACCATGAAAATTTGTTTGGTATTGACTTTTTAGATCCAAGCCATATAAAGATGATGAATAAATGAATGTTGTTCGTCCTAATTAACCATAAAATTTCAACTTTCCTAAGATCGTGAGGCGGTTACATGGAAGAGCTGTGATCCAGATAATTACTCTTGTTATGCAAAAATTAAATTGCAGTGTTTAACAATGAATAAATCAAGAAAACGTGACTCGTCAATATTTTACAAGTCATATGTTGCACTTGTAAGTTTATCTTGATCTTGTAGACACAATTAGTTAGTGATTAGTAAGAAGTTTGTTGGACCTAGCAAGGTTGATAATTTTAATTCGCAAAAACATACCTTTTGCTGGTGAAATGCCTTTATACACAGGAGCAATTGCTGTGCCTGTATCTGACAATGGTTGAACAGGAGTTCCAGTTGGGACTGATGACGTGGAAGGCTGTGAAGGGGCTGCATCTGGAAAGAAATAAAAAAATATTATACGAAAGTTGAAATATGGTATAGTGTGAATTGTAAAAATGCATTATGTGCATAACTAGAAAACTGTATAGGAATGGTGATACCAGCTAAAAACATTAGTTCTGATAAATAAAATAATTTGTGATATTCTCTTTTTTGTTTTGTAGCAACAACCACCATTTTTCATGAGTTAGGCACACAATAGTTTAAACCAGGGGTCCGCAAATACAGAGTCTACTAAACCTACCACACTGGGTCACAAAACAATTTAAAATTGCTATAAATATAAGCATCTCGTCTGTGTAGCGTATTTATGTACCACAACTTCATAAATTTCTATTTATAATTAAGATTGTTTCTCTGGGCAGCGACTTCCTTATTCATTGCCGTAACTTTGGCCAAACAGAATAAGTGTAAAATTTGACGTAACAATAACTGGTTTAGCAGCCGTTCAGATACTTTTGTGACACACTGAATATTAACTCGTTTTTGCATGCTCTTCGTTAGTTTTTACTCGTGTTTTGGTAAATACAATGAAAATAAATTAAATAACCCAATGATTATTTTGTCTTTTAGGAGTTTTATTTCAATTGTAGTAATCAAAAATTAGTCTAAAAATAGCTGTGAGAGACTAGGCTAAACTTTTCTACCATTTTGTTTAAATGAAAGGTTGTTGAATGTTTAGAATGAAAATGATGGTTTGAAACGTATAAACCGGTTTATAGGCGCCGACTAGTAAAAAAACTCTTGAAATAAGGACCAACAATTTTGAAACTCTAAGAATACCAGGAAGAAAACCACACTAACAAGACAAGACGCGAGAAATGAAGAGAACATCTGTATGGCCATTATCTTTTGTTGAACTCTGTTCCATGAATCGCATATGCCTCACCTTTTTTCTAATTAACTCTGCGTTTGCTACTTCTAACACTATAACCGTGGCAGACAAGTAAGTCTTTTATAGACATTGCACTTGCTCATCCTATGCAGCCTCTTGTCAATTAAACCGCCAATTAGGCCAGCCCAATATGCCAGAGGAGGCCATTCAGAATCTTTCAATCAAAAACCATTCTACGCCAAATTTGTATTTCACAGACATTGTAGCACTTTCATACCAGTATAATAGAGTAGTTAACTTAACATTATATCAGATTAAAACAAAACGATTTTTCAATTTTAATCATTATTCATTGATTTGTACTTTGGAGAGTCACCAAAATAACGCAGCAGGGTCGGTGGTTCACCATCCCTGGTATATAGGATGAATTTTCCAGGGATGAAAAGTCGGGAAAACATTCATTACATATTTCTTTCCATTGTTATTATCTGTTATTACCGGTATCCTACTACATAGTCAAGTGTATTGTTTTGTAGCAGTGCAAGGTTAGCAGTAGCTTTGTGGAATTACTTGATTTTTAATATACTCACACAGGATAAATTTTAGCATAAAGTGAATTTCTCAAAATTCATATGTTCATCAAAATTCCAATCTACTGCTGTAACAAAAATATTTGCATGTTCTAACATGTAGACAAAGACAATATTACTTTTGCTTGAATACTCAAAAATGATGTAATCATTTTCTACCAGTTATATACCACATTGACAGCATATATCACAGGCGGCCATCCAGGATAAAACTTTGCCCACATGAATTTGGGTCTCTTAACACAACTAGTAAATAAAAAATCTCTAGATCAAAAGTGTGCAACCTGGGGCCCACAAGGTAGAACTGTAATATAACTTAATTAATACTATGGATGTACTATCACCCTTTTACCAGAGGAGGAATACCAGTTGCTAGTCCGGGTTGGTCGAAAAAGGAGTCGACCCATGGCCAAGTCCTACACTTTCATATAAGATTCAGATAGGAAAGACAACAATACTGCTCAATCATTTGGCAAACAACTGCCTCTCGTCCGGTTAACAGTCCATGTCGGGTATGGAATTAGTTAGGCAGTTATTTCTTTCAGATGCATGAACTCGATGGTGGAGAAAGCCCAAACTGACTCTACGGCAGCAGGAAGTCCAGTAATCCTCTGGCACATATTTATCACCAGAAGGTTCAAACCTGCAAACCCACAAATTGGTGCAGTGGGGAGTGTATTTCAAACGCTTGGCATGATGCACCACATTACCAATCCTGATTTGATATCGAAATAGCAAGCGATGGCACTGACATGTTCTCCTTGGCCAAGTTTCAGATAAAGTAAATTACCTTTAGGTTCTTTTCCTCTGTAGATGTTAACGTTGCCATAAACATTTGTTGTTGCTCCTTGCCCTTTAGTTATAGTTGCTTCATCTGCAAATTTGAAATAAAGAGGCTTCAAGTATAATATACCAATGCATGATACAGATGTGTATTTTAGGACACAAACATTTTCAATCTCCATGTATAATGTATATAGGGACACAGCGGGTTTCTGTTTCTCTCTTCACTTGCAAGTGTTAATTCGATGAAGCGTTTCAGACTTTCTGTCAGTTTTTTAAATATAATGAATATTATTATGTTGTCTTGCGTTCGCAGTCCAAAGATATGCCCATCATGACATGCTGCTATTTGATATCAAACTATCATGCTGTTATTTTAGTCCGATCTTTTTTCTTTAAAGGCTGATAAGGCTCAATGTCAAAGTAACGTGCTTTCAGACACTCCACGCTCACTAATTTGAGTGACAAATAGTGATGACTCTTAAAGTTTCGCCGATTCGACAAAATGAAAGAAGCGACCCAGAGAAATGTGTGCTTCTACCCAGGCAAGTATGATCTGATTCTAACATATCAAATGAGATTAAAAGACTTATACTAATACATGTGAGAAATAACAGCCAGTTAGGAATCGCCTAATATTTTTTGATATTTTCTTACCTGCAGTCATGTGAATGTTTGATGAAGCAATATCAACATTGGCATCTTGCTCTGCTTGCAAATATGTTGCAGAACCTGAGATGTAGAATGATGAATGGGGATTAACTTATAAGTTAAAATTTGTTGACAGTGAAAAAAGCAGCATCATGTCAAATCTCATGATACAGACAACGCAGCTGTTTAGAGAGAACCATCAACTTAGAGGGTATGAAAACATATCAGTCCAAATGTGAGATAAAACTCGGCATAAAAAACTACCATGAAAAAAGTCATAGAATGTGATACTGCAAGTCGGATCTGAAACCGTTTATGAAAGCTCAAGACAGAGTATTTGCCTCGACATTGACTAAATGTAGCATTTAGAATTTCCAATAACTGGAAACCAATGGCAATATCAGAACAAACTATAAATACATTCACCTGCCACAAGCACATCTTCATTGCTTATTTTTAAATTTCTGGTGCGTTGCTTTTTGCTTTGTATATGCGTTGACAAACCTGAATTTGGAGAGGAAAAATGTCTTATAGGGTAAGAGAGAAAAATTTCCATATTTGGTATTCCATGGTTGCCCATCGTTGTCACGCATAAAATAAAAATAAAATCTCAAAAAAAAAAAAATTAAAAAAAAAATTTGTAAAAATTAAAAAAAATGAAAATAAAAACGAAATGAAAAATATAAAAATGCAAAAAAAACTTGAAAAAAACTTAAACAAAAACTATTAATATCAAAATAAAAAAGGTTGACAACAATGTGCCGGTAGACAGCACATCGGTGTCAACCTTTTTTATTTTCATTTTGATCGCTTATATTTTTAAACAAACATTCCAAATTTAATAGTGTTAATGTGTAACGGCATAGAAATAAAATTTTGAAAACATACTTTGGAACGAGTTTCATGTGTGAAATATGTAACGACTATTGCATTTTTTGTCTCACTACACCCATTTAGTATGATGGGTGGGATAATCAAACAGTACTGACGATACATACTTTTAAATTAATTATTTCAATGACTTCTTTTAATTTGTTAGAATAAATTCTTTTTAAACAGTTTTTATGAATACGAACATGCACAGAGACACATCATAGGATTGGGAGTCATATTCGCTCTGTTTAATGCATGTATGTGATAACTCCCTCCTCGTTGCATGGTGCTAGAGCAGGCCTGGGCAAGTTGCGGCCCGCGGAAATGTTTCATTCGACCCGGCGGGCCCGCGGAAAGGTTTTTTAAATTTAAACACTTTCTCTTTTATTCACATATAAAATATACTGTAACTGTGAAAAAAAGAAATTTTTAGAATAATGAAAAAGTCGGTAATAACGCTCGACTAAATTTTTTTAAAGTTGCCGATTGTTTCTGTCAGCTCCAGTTGTTATTTAGAATGTAAACACCTTCGGTGATTAGTCTCTTTAAATCACAAATTTCCCTCAACATATATAGGTCTTGTATTTGGAACTGTGAAACCATTGAAAACAAGAGAGCAAAGATCAAATATATGGACACGTTAGTCAGAGAGAAGCAGTCTTTACATTTAACGCTACCGGTACCTACGGCGCTGTACGCCATTCTCCATTAGGAAAACAAGAACTTCGTTACACACCACCGGCGTTCGATGAGCACGTTATCAAAAGAACAAGAGTGCCAGCATAAAAGCGCCTTTTTAGGTTTTACAGGTTTTTTAGGTGTTTAAATAAAAGTAAAACGATTCATAGGTTCAATCCTTGTTTAATATTAAAAAATAAAAGTAATAGGCTTCTGGCAAAAAAATCAATCTTTAACCACTGAAAATTTCAAAGTAATTGGTCCAGTAATCAAAAAGAAAGGCGACTTTTTCATAACGTGTCAAAGAACAACAACAACATAATATTGAAACGATCCATAGGTCCACTAACGTGTATATATAATCATCGGCGACGAGATGCTAAAGATACTCGTAAATGAAAGAGTGAATCTGCAAGCAACTTAAATCTAGATTTTAGAGCGGCAATATAAAATACTAACAACTGAACAGAAACAAGTTATGATTCAGAAGGAAACGCTGTTGTAGAAAATGGAAACTAAAAAATTTCTGCTGCCTACGGCACACATTTTATTTGCATGACTTTCGTGGGTGCGATGTACCTTTTGATTAATTCTAAAACTACCGACGGGGGCTGTTATATAAGATAATTAATTTAAAGTAAATTCAATCGATTTTTATGGTACTAAAATGAATTGTACTTGGTGTGCTTTCATCGCAGGTGTAGGGATTTTTCTGATGGTAAAAGAACTATGTCAATGTTGCAAGAACAGATCAGATTTGTCGAATTCACGAAATCAAGACCAAAAATAATCTGGCACTTTACCTCACATTTTTAGGTCCGTGGAATGTGGTGGTATTTTAGAATTGTAATGCTTATATTTTGTCAAAGCAGTCGCGGGTTAAGATGAAAACATAAAGCAAGACATTTTGATGTGCTCGTATCAATACATTTTAAATATATCCGTATTTGAAAAATAGATATATATAGTATATGCCGGCAGCCGCTGGTATTTTAGAGCAGTAAATCCCAAGCTTTTAATCTCGCAACAACTTCCAGTGCATTAAAATATTCCGCGAACCTTGTTCACGTTAAAAATGCTATGATGACAGCAAAGTTATATGAATCGCGATGTTAGGCCACCAAAGACAGGGTCCTAATTACGCATTGTTACTCACTTTTCAGCATTAATGATAAAATTCGGCATTGTTATGCAAGCGTTCTGTCACTCCGATCCAATGTTTTGATTTATGTTTAAACTAGTTTTAATAAATGTGCTTTGAATAAAAATTCTAACAAAGTACAATAACTATAGTATTTATTTTTCTACCTACTTATCTATAGTACTTATTTAAATGTGTAATATAATACAATAAAAACGCGTACTGACTCTTCTTAGTCCGACCCGCCACTGCATTTTGAAAAATCAATGTGGCCCGATATCAAAAATAATTGCCCAGCCCTGTGCTAGAGGGTTGAAATGATGAAACAAGGCTTACTGTAACTATATACCTTGCTTGACGCTTATATTATAATTTGAGTTTCACTTTCGCAAAGATTTCATGTCATACAAAATTCAATGGTATTGAAGCTGGAACTCCAGATCAGAGGATAAAATTAAATTCTGAAAAATTTGTAATTTCCCCCTAGCCCCCAGACTCATGGGCAGACACTTTCCATAATTTCCTTTTTATTTGGGGGCCAGCCAGGATCGTCAACCAAAAAAAAAAAATGGTGGCGTGTTCATACACTGTTACATCTGATAACCTTTGATTTTATCATTATACTAAATATTCAGAATGCCACTTTACTATTCAAGTATCTGATATCGCGGGACCTGTGCTGTTTTCCTTGGAAATGGTGTCCCGCGTCACTAAATGAACAATACAAATTCCGGGAGAATTTGCCCATGGTTCTTGCTAACATACCAAAGTGACAAGTTTAACAAAAGTATTTAGGTTAATTTAATTATTAATCTTGCTTAGACGGGCTGATACCGCTTGCTTCGTAAATATGGATGTTAAAACAAATTATCTTAATAAGATATTCTATGAGATTTCAACTGGACTTGACATCAACATTTAATTTTACATTTTCAACTAATTCATCATCTCGAGCTCTTATGTCCATTTTCTTTTTTTCTAAAATGCCTAAAAAATTGACTTATTTTCAAGTGCCTACTTTCAGTCCGTCCCGAAATATACCCCAAATACAACGTGAATTATTATTCCGAAGTATGAAGACTAACTAAGGCAAAAACCGATCTCCTCTAACGTATTCAAACCTATGAGTGGTCTAAAAAATCAGCACAAGCAGCTTCAAGCCTGATTTGAACAAACCTTTGGACACCTGCAGTAGCCTACATTAGTCCGATTTATCATTGTGTCATTTGATACAATAGATGTCTGTTGTACATTATCTGTTACGCTAGATTTTTGCAAATAAACTGTTTTAATTCCAAGTGACATATTGAGCCTCTTGCCCAATAAGCAAGTCTGTTATCTGGAACTGGCCCACTCAACAAAGTAATTGCCCACGCCTGCTCTACATGCTCAGAAGCCACATTTGATTATGTAATGAAACTTATATTCTCTTAGTGAACAAAAGTGTGAATTTATTGCATACAAAATGTCTGTCAGTGCCACAGGTTGAATATATTTGGTTTACCCACTCCACCTAAGATGGGATAAATTAGTTCAATATTGCTCTGTATGAAAATACTGAATATTATTCTTGGTTCATACCTGATGAAGAGGAATACCCCTTTTTCTTCATTTTTGGTTCGGGAGATGGTGCATCATCCTGCACTTGATGTTGTGGTGCAGGCGCATCATGTTGTAGTTCAGCTGGTGCTGCTGCAGGTGGTGCTGCTGAAATTAAAGTATAAAGTTAGACAATGCCGGGATTATGTTGTGTGATAAAAGTACAATTTTTCAAAACCAAAAGAAGAATATTTTTAAGAAGAATTTTTGGAGAAGAATATTTTTAACACAAACTTTTAATATAAATTGACATGAAGCACTCTTTGTGACTGTCCCCTTTTGTATGCTATAGCAGGGGCGCAGCCAGGATTTTTCCTATGGGGGAGGGGGGGTTACGGTGATATTAAACTAACATTGCACCGAAAGTGCAATTCACGACGATGTAACGTGTTTGATAAACTGAAATGTATGCGTCGTTCACAGCAAAATTACACAGTTACGTGTAGCCCACCTCTCTTGCCTGACGGTGTTTGTTCAAAGATAGACTATTAGTCTGTAGTCAGGGGGTACCCGCATTCAGAAATAGAATATTTAAAATCGCGAAAATTAATTTTGAAGAGAACTTCAACTGGCAGATGACAGTAGCATCATAATGGTTTTCGCATGTAGCGCCGATCAAATTCATGAAATGTGAAACTATTACTTGAAATTTATTGTTAATGAAGTTGATTTTAAAGTCGCCGTGACAATAAATAATTTTTTTGGGGATTTTACTAGAGGACTGAAAACTCCGTAACAATGCGGCGTTTTTTATTTCATAATTTTGTCATAATCGAAGGCTGCAGTAAATTTTTTGTCATTGCAATCGTTTCTGCGGCTGACATTTCAGTTAACGTGTTAAACTATATAAGACTGAATACTCCGTAACAATGCGGCGTTTTTTATTTCATAATTTTGTCATAATCGAAGGCTGCAGTAATTTTTTTGTCACCACGACCGTTTCGGCGGCCGACATTCCAATTAATGTTATTAAACTATATTAAAGCACTTCACTAGCAAATATTAATTCTCACGCAACAGCGGATATCGTAGTTTGGTTTTTATATTTCGGACAGAATTGTGAGTTCACATCGGCAAAGATGTTAAAAAGACAACTATTAAGGAGTGCATTCACAACACAAATTAATTTTATTCTGATTTTCATCTTTCTGTGTAGAATTTGTACCACAGTTTGTAAATTACGGTCCCAATATCAAGCAAACAATATTTTTATTACTGACTCCAGGATTCGATATTTGTGAAGTGGGTAGTTGACATTTCTATGGTTTTAATTTCAGATCGTGTTCGTGTTAATTTCGTAGTAAATCGGTAATCTCTTGAACTCAGTGTAGATTATTGACCTAACTCAGCTTTGGGTTAAAACACTGATACTAAAAACGTGAATAAATCGGCAGTAATAGCATATCCACATGGTCGAAATGATATATATCTTGAGAAATTTCCATAAAATACATTTTTTACTTATCTTACTTATCTGTTTCGACGTTTCTAAATTTACAAAAACGGTGTTGACACGCTTTATGCAAACTCGTATCTCATTTATCGTTTCTACCTGTTAGTGATAGCCGTCGGTTAATTCTTACCTGTAACTCGTTATTAATGTTAATAAAATCTATTTTGCTTTTCAATGCTCTATGATTTGTATTAGTAAAAGTGATCGAGTCAAAGTCCCCCCCCTAAAAACAAGGGTCTCCTAGAGCAGAGATCCAATCAAAAAAAATAAAAACTGCCTTAGTGTACTGCTAGTATTAAAAAATTTGTTTGCGACAAATAACAAATCCAATTGAGATTATCTACCTCAAATAATCCCTTTTATCAGTAACTGCTACTATGATCAGAGTGAAAAAAAAAGACAAATATATTTTTACTTCAATTTTCAATTAACTATGTACGTATGTCTCAACTATGTATGAACATGGCGTTCACACCCTATTCATTTATATTAAAAATAATTACCATTATCTCCAAAATGCATGTGAAGGTTCACGTTGTCTACATGAATCACTTCTGCTTGAGCTTGAACTACTTCTGCCTGAGCAACAATCTGATTTACATGTCCTGCATGCAGTTCATCGATGTGTGCCCCTGAAACAATGTATATTTTAAAAACCATATTACGTATTTCTTCTGATATAATAAAAATAAAGGTTTATGATTCAAGCTATCGTCAGCGTCCTTTGCATTATAGGGTCAGCGTCCTTTCCAAAAAAGGTTCTAACAGAGCTCGAGCCATTGAACCAAATTAGTGAGCAATACTGCAACTAGTAATCAAACATCAAAAAGATATAAACATAACTTTTGTTCTAAATGACAAGGTCGTTCTGAAATTTTTGGATTTAATAATAACAAATACATACCTGTAATGTTCACATTAGCTCCCTCTTGTGGTTGATCTTGATCTTCCATTTTTTGCAGACAAAAGTCGAAGCGTGGGAGATATGCTGCCGAGTACTACTTTCAAGTATAATTATATATAATATTTAATATCTGTTGAACATAAAAGAACAAATTTTAAAAAGTCAGAGAAAGATATATTTACAGAGCTTCACAGAGAGATAACACTTTTTGCATTCACTGCCATCCTGTTTTGCCATATATGAAATTAATATTTCCATCAGATGGCATTTCATGTAAGTATGCCTCGATGGTGTGGCTCATCGTACTAAGCGTTAGAAATACGCTCGCCACTGAAATGTTGTACTCTTCGTCGCTATAGAGTGGTCCACATAAACCAGTGGTTCCCAAACTTTTTGAAAAAAATTCCATGACGGACCCCTTGCAAAATTTTTAATGATTCTCGGCCTTGTGCACTAAAACAAAACATTAAAAGATCACAACAAAAAAACAATGCACCATAGAGTGAAACGAAAAAAAGAATATAAAGCGAAACTCTAATGACATGTGTTCTTTCAGTCTGGTGGCATGAATTGAACTCTCTGTGATATCACAGGTCCACAGCTCTGTAAGCCCTCTGTAAGCACAGCGAATGTAAGCACTCAATTTTTCATAATATTCATGTTCAATTTATTTATATTATATATGTAATATGCCATATTACATATTTGTCTCGAGAACCCCAAAAGGTCCGCCGATCTCTGTTTAGTAACGACGAACGTAAACGTCAGTCACGACTTCCTACACCATAAAGTCCATGCATCTGGAAAAATATTTAACTAACCAATTCCTTACCCGGCATGAACTGGTAAACGGATGAAAAGCCGTCTTTTCTCTCCCTCGATATGAATATGTGAAATTTACAGTCATGGCTTCTTCTACAGACTACATATATGAATCTTCAATAGTTAATAAATTCAAAGTACCGTAATTATTTTTTGTTATGCTTTGGTTCTGATATGTAAGCATGGTGTGTACGATGTTAGTTAGACATTAAACACACAACCTGTCTCCATGCTTCCTGATAAATTTACACGTTATATGTAAACCATAAAACATGCAGACAATTGAGCTATAACATAATAATAATATTAATAACAGTAGAATTTCAAAACAAGCGTGGAATCTACCATAACGCCAAAGCATAAATAATAATTATCACTATCTCCTGTGGGATTATCAAAATCTTAGTTAGCCCTTGGTGTGTTGCCATTACATGGCCAAATAATACTATTTCTTCTTTACTATTTCTAAATTTTTCATTTTTTTTCAGTTTTCCATGAATCGAGTTATTTGTTTTCCTCCAAAGCGCAAAATTATATATTCGGGTGCAAAGAGTAATAAAGTTTTTGAAATGAGCGGACGCCAACAATTTTGAAGCATTCTTTAACAGATCTTTGGTCACAATAATGGAGTATCCCTGCTCTACACCATATAGTCTGTAATATAGTTTTGATGCCACAAATATAAAATTCTATCACAACTAGCTCAAATAGTTTTCATTTATTTTTATTTGTCATTTTCCATATTAAAAACTTGGTTTACACCTGTTCAAATGTCAACTTGAAAGTTGATAAAACTAAAAGTGAAAATGCGACCCAACACATCTTAGTGCATCCCTTTGTAAATTCTAATTGAAGTGAATAATGAAAAGAAATTTAAATTTCCTCCTCCCTAGCTGTTTTTGCTATGGTGTTGCACTGATATATGTGCTTCGGATCTCATGTCAGCTGTAATCTACTGACATCGCTGTCTCACAGATAACACATGTATCTAGATTGTATAGAAGGTATATTCAACATGATAAAGTAGATAGGATAATATTGTGAATATTTTAAAAGTATTGATGATGGAATTCTTGATTGGATGTGTACACATGCCACACAAATATTTATGGAATTTATTTAAGACATTAAATAATAAAAATCAAAACTGTCAGGAAAATCAATGAAAAGAAGTTTACAAGCCACAAGTTCTTTATTAAGAGCATAGAAATTCTGAGGTTCAGCCTGGAAGTTGTGAAACCCTGGATATGAACCGGACCAGTGTGGGATGAATAAAAACATTTAAATTTTAGACAAGTTCAATGATATAAAAAATAAAATATTATTAAAATTTTATATATATATATATATATCGGTAATATAATATAAGCTAAGTGAATTCCAATTGCATAAGATAAATCTCTAGTACACATCTTCTAGTATCCACTTTCGCTCATTTTAGGATGAACAGTCTTATGTTGTTATCATCCCACCACTAATTATTTTCTGTGTATGGTAGGATAAGTTAAATTGGCCTAACCTTAATGTTAGTGAGAAATATAGAGGAACGTGGTGAAATAACAATAAAGAAAACAGATAGGAAAATCAGTGGTGGCCAAAACCAGCACAAAACCACTTGTTGCTACCTTGCAATATCACAAAATTACCGCAACATAAACGCTCAAGTGGGATGTTGCTGTAATTTTGCTGAAAAACAATATTTCTCATGTTCTTTAGAATTGGGAAATTTTTTAGTGCATATATCATTTGATGCTGTTCTGCCAGTTTTACCTTTACGTTTCAAAAAATAAATTTGGAGAGAGAGTTGAGCATTACGTATAAAGTCCGGAGTCAATATACTTACAATTGATTGAAATCTAGGGTAGTTATGCTGGTAGCATTCGAGGCAAATAAAGTACAACTAGTACAAGGTCAGGAATTGACTAATAACGTTACAGGTTTATTTTGTCAAACTCATAAGCTTTTTGACAACTTGCTAATAACCGAATATCCCCATGCAACCAGACCATACTGAATAAGAGACTGAAAGAGAGCAAACGTATATTAAAGGGACTAGAAATAATGGAAATAGTTAGATAATTTTCAGTTCTTGTCTTTATCACCAGATTAAAAGATTAGCATGATTTCTGTAAATTTTAGAATATCAGGAAAAATAGCAAACAGCGTCGCATAAAATGATATCCGCAATATGCTCAAGAAAGAAATTCGTTATAACATCCGAACCGATAGCTTTCCAATTTTCAGAATATTTATTGCTCCATGTCTGGTTCAAAATTTCTATGTTAGAAAAATGTGCATTGAGTTGATTTGCAATTTCAGTTTATCAGCAAATAACCAATTATTGCACCAACAAAATCAGTCAGTCCAATATTCACTAGACTGCTTTTATTATTTACAATTCGATTTATGATTTTTCATGTTGCCCTAACATTTCCTCTAATTCTACTAATAAATAAACTCTGGTAGTAAAGATGCTAGGCTTTCTCTGTTGTATGGGTTATGTTATAACCTAATAAATACAAAATGGTTTTCTACTAAATATCTTTTTTGTGATTGAATGATATTCTCGGACCTTATGTTAACCAGGGTTTAGATATGTTCGATTAGAAAACTAACAATGTGTTAGTTGTCTACTATAATGATATATTTGTCAAATTTTGTATTTCACACAAGAAGAAAATTCCATTGATATTTTCTGTTAACAAATGTTTCCCAGTCCCACCTGACATATATATTCAGACATTTCACATTCACAAATATATAGTAAACTAAATTACTGTATGCTTGAAATAGTTGTCACTATACATAGTGTGATTGAGCGTAAACTGCAACTCATTTCCTTATGTGTCAGGTTTCGCTCAAACGCATCGAATCTATAGATGGGAATATATGGGACAGGAAATTGAGTCAATCCATGTATTAGATTACTGAGCTATTTATAAAATAATATTTTCCACAACACGATGCATGGCAGCAGAATTATATACTTCAATGGCATTTCAGAGTTATTCGTCAATTAACCTTTCGAACCAAAACCTCATTTCAAATTTATTTCATAGAAATAAAAATGCTGGTAATATGTACGGTGATAACGTCAAATCCTCGCAATTCTGAATTCTGATAGAAAGAGATTTGAAACCGTTATGCGTTTTGGGTATTATCATTGGGTATGGAGGGTAGTCCAAACCACTCTAGTAAAATTAAATCACAACAATTAAGTTTTAACGTCATATCTGATATCCGTGAATTGTACTTCTTGCTCAAAATTAATTTTCATGATTTTTATCATATTATCTTCAAATATGTACATATGGGAAACAACTTCTAGTGAAAAATATTGATATCTCGGGCACACTCATGAGCTTTTTCCTAGCTAAAACCTCAAAATTTGGTTTTAGTGCAGATGTGGCAGCATCAGGCAGGCTAGATTGAATTACTCAATGGGCTGAATAATTTGACCCCCTGGCCGTAGTTTGCCCATGTCAGTTATGGTTTTTACACAGGTAGGAGAAACACAAGTGTGCGCATTGACAAGAATGATGTATTCCTCAGTGCATAAAACCGTGTTCTCTAAAATTGTTTGATCGACAACAGCACTTACTGGCCGAATATATTGCAATACATGCAAATCTCAGTGAATGCGTTCAAAGTCTTATAATTAAGGTGAATTTAACTTTGAATAGCCAGGTTTCTGTAGTTAGGAAAGTTAATAATTATAGATACTATTAGATTTTTATATATACCGGTACTCCAAAGTACAAACTTGTTAAATGTTACTAACCCTAATAAATGCCTCATTCTTGAACTTTCACTTTTGTCTAACGTTAGGCACAACAAGGCACAAGCCCTTCTTGCTGTATTTCTTTTCTCACATTGCATAAAATGTCCTATGAATTATTCTATTATGTGAATTTTTATAGTAATTCTTCTTTCAGGTACTTTTTTGGAATTGATTCATTGAAACCTCGCAACCAGGCTTATAAATGAACATTATTTTTTTTTAAATATTTTTTCATCTCATTGGAGTATCTTTACAACTTTCACTCCTGACATGTGGAAATTACTTGCCGATATTTACATAACTTTATTCAGAGTGACAGGAATGGGATGGCCCCTGGAATGGTCGTTATTTATGTGAATGGTCTGATGTTACTTGTTGCTGCAAGCATATAATTAGAAAATTTCTCTTCTATATCAAAATCAGTTACAATCAAATTTGGAAACTTTGTTGACTGCTTCTTTGCAAGATCATTACATGGATACAGGAAATGAATTTGTTCAAAATGGAAACATCACACTTGAAAACATTT